CATAGACGGGGTCCTGTTCTTTGTAAAACGTCGTCTTTCTAAATCGAAAATTGACATAGAAATTCCTATTTGTGTTTGAATGTGATTTCATTTTGCAAAATTAAGTATAATCACTTAGCTTTGTTCCGGTGTCGTTAAACCCTTCACTATGTAATGATCATTTTTTCGCTCATCATCTCTGACTGCTTTAATTGGTTGTTGCAGTTTCCGATTATGATCACTTTGGGGCGTGTTTGTGAGCTGAGCCGGAGGCATGTGAAAAGAAAATCCTTGTTTCTTTCCATCTCGCGTTTCGCTTTAGAGCGAAGAATTTATGCCCGTGGGCTACAATAACTATCCATAAACAATACTTCTATGTGTTCGCAATTTATGGTTTGTGATGGCGTCGTACTGGACCCGTGCTCGATAATTTATTGTCTTTGTTAAAAAAAATTGAAGACAACTATTTAACAGTTGGTAGAATTTCAAATTTCGTTGTCTATGTTATCCCACTTTTCAGGCCAGGCGAGTTGTCGCCTGCATCGGAGGGATGGCTCGTCGAACTTCAACGCCTTCTGTGATGCCCGAGCTAAAAGCAGCCCCTGTGCTCTCCTCTGTACCAGCTGTATACAAAATTGGGTGTGTTTGCCTGTTATTTTTTTTCCTATAAATTCTAATTTTTTGAATGCTATCTCTTAAAACCTAATTTGTTCTTTTATTCGATTTTTATGTAAGCGACTATGCTCCGAAGCTCTCCGGCTCTTTTAGTTTTCTAGTTTTAGTCTCTCCCACCCTGAATTTGCTCTAATACGAGTGAAACTGGATTACTTATGTTTTGGTGCCCAAATAACGATCGGCTGCTTGTTCAGTCTCAGTAAAAAATGTTTTCAACAGCATAGGTGATACTACTGATTCTCGAGTTTTCTGAGAACTGCAGTCTTTTTTGCGACTTTAAGGTAAATTTCATGGTGGTAGAATGAAAAGATAATGATTTGCAAGAGAATTTTCATCGAAATAGGGTGAAATTCCCACCAAAGACAATCAAAACCGCACTTTTACAAGTTATTTGCCTATTCAAGCAGAAATTCATGCGTAAAGTTAATGACCCTCGTTTCATTTACTGGTCAGTTCAACTCATCTTTAAAGTCAGTGTCTCCGTTTGTGGCTAATACTAAAAAAAGAAAACAGAGCTTCCACCCTTTTTGATCTAAAGCTGGAAAAAAAGATGTTTTGTTATTTTCGGGAGGAAAATTTGTTTAAACGTATGCTATCATTGTTCCCTGAATGTACACAGGATGTTGCTATGGCAGCGATCGCAACGCTCTCTATTGTTGGCCAACTTGGTTGACCAAACTCAAGATCTGATGGAAAAAAGCTTTTTCCCCATTCACTTTTAAATGGGAATAAGGGTAAGAAAATGATGTTTTTAGAGGTTATCAAGTTTCCTCGGGCAAAATATAAGTTGGGCAGGTGAAAACTTAAGACATATTTTGCACATTGCCTTTGGAAGCCAAGGAAACCTCTAGCTCTAGCTACCTCTCGTTCTTATCTCACGCTTATTTCCGTTCGAACTGTTGCCAATTAAATATGATCATCCTTTGAGAAATGTTAGAGGAATAATAACTGGTGAGGTGAGGTAGTATCACTCTTCCACTCCGATGTGCGATAGAAGGTCTTCTCACAGACAGGTTCTGCTACCTTATATATAAGGGCGCATAGCAGGCAGCCTTTTCTCCGCCTGGCTTACTGGTCCTGGTTTTTTTCTAAAGGCGACATTTTTCTTGCACACCTTTGAGTTGTATCGTATTGTGTTGAGCGACAAGATCTTAATTGCAATTTTTTTTCACCTTCAGCACGTGAACCGTTGGGTTTGCAGTTAACCACATACACATACACACACACATACCCACTTCTGAGCCACACATCTGTTAAGCTCGACTGATATTTGTTGACACAAGGTTTCAAAATAAATGCAAAGTGGTAGAGAGCCTAATGTGGAGCACCATACCGATAGACTGGTACGTATCTATTTAGACTTAAGTTATTATGGAGCCCGAGGGAAATATTTCGGTCATCTAACACTCGAACTCTCGCCCTTGGAGCTTGCTATTTCTTAGTGGTTGTGGCCCTTTAGCGGCACTGTGTGCTCTACCATGAGACTTCTGTATTGGCTATTGCAACAGTAGGAGAGGGGAAAACGACGAAGGACCCACTTTCCCATAGTAATGAAACCCTTTACACATTTCCGTGGAATCTGCCTATCATAAGCCATCTAGGGAATCAAAGGAGAGGACTTCACTCAATGTTGCCAAATTACTATTGCAAGGCATAGCATCACTTTCACAAGGGTAATTTTTCACCTTTTTCATTGCAAGGTTTGTTCTTTCCCCCCATCACATGTCACCAACATCAGTACATCGCATGGACTAGGCTTTAAAGTACAGCTCCCCTTTGTTTCATAAACAACCAAGCAATTAGTAAAATTTTTCCAAGTAAATAATGGAAGGTTTTTTGTTCACTTCATCAGTGATGTTGGATGCGACCCAAACTTCTTACGAGTGATCAAGTATTTTATGCCCCGTTACTAATTCATTTTGGTTTACATTCCATTCATAAGCCGACCAGCAGTATTTCCGCTAGCAGTTCTTTTTGCTTGAAGTATCAAATTAGTTCAACATATCGCTTCAAAAATAATGCATGATATAGTTGTCTGCAGTTATTCATCCTTTATTTATCTTAAATTCTATGAGGGGAAATAATAGACGTACCTTCGAAGCGTGTTTTAATTACGTCAATGAATCACTCTCAGCAGAATTTCCTTGTTTTGTTAAGAAACTTCTTAAGTAGATCTGAATGGTTCACTTACAATTTTCTTATTCTACTGATTAATGTGCATTTGGCCTGCTTTTCTTTCCATAGCTTCCGTCTCCACGTTGATATGCGCGAGATAGATACCAAGTCTTTACGCGGCAGCATCTCCGTGCAGAAGGAGAAGCCGAATGTCTTCAAATTTCATCAAAACCTTGATAAGATTCTGGTCATCGGAGTGAGTCAACTGGACGATAACGTCGACGTTCCGCCTCTACGTGTTGTCAAGTTGGTTTTTTCCTGCACCTGATTTACGCGTAGTTGATATGTGGTCACCATTGCCTCAACCACTTGTCATGTCATGAGAGGGAATTAACCCCACAAATTTGTTATTCTCGTGTAATCACGCTTTGTTAGTCCACTTTTTTAAAAATTGCTAGTTCATATACTGTTGCGAATCATAAGTATAGGAACAAGGATCGGGGGCGTTTTTAGATCAAATTTCTGGTCCTTTTTTTCTTGATTTTCTGTCGAGTTTGTGAATAAGAAGAATCGAGCTCGCGCCACTTTAGGCTTTTTTAAAGACAACTTTCTGATTCTAAAAGGCGATTTACAAAGCAACGGTTTTTTTGTAGTGGGTGATTGAAGGCAATGCATAGCTGCATTTCTTTTGATAATCAGGCAAAAATGTTAAGATTTCTTGTTATCATCTCTCACCGCTTCAGATGCCCCAGCATTGGATTGGCTTGTGGTCGGTACATCAATGCCTCCGATGTGATCCAGCTTGCCACTAATCTCGCACCATTACCTCCTGATGAGGCCATCGCACTCATTCCCGAGGCCTCTGTCTTTGTCGCCATGGCACCTTGGTCACCACAAGTACCTCAGTTTGAGATCCTAAACACCGTTACTGATCGTGGTATGTGTGCAGTCAAAGATTATGATTTGATACACCTGCTCGAGTCATTTAAGTAAACTCGTGCTATGCTAAAGGTAGTGTGTGATGATTGTGCTGTGCTGGCTTATTTCATTTTAGCCGAAATCTCTCCTTGTAATAAAACGAAAGCATTGCTTAGTTTATTTTGTGATTCGCTAAATTTGTGGAGGATTTTGGAGATAGTAAAGCTACTGAAAAGTGCAGCTAATTTACGATTAAACTCTACGCTTATTTGTACGTTTAGAACGCTTCGTATTCTTTACGGTGGTTTGCGACCTGGCACTGGAGTTTGTGACTAAACCCATTCGACTAAACTGCGTGTTTCGCGCCAAGATCCTTCAAAAGGACGCCATCTTTCGGCTCTCTACACCTCGAAATCCATGTTGCGAGGACGTTAGTCTTGTTCTCATTGAGGTCTGTCTTTTTGTCTTAATGTTCGTCTGGATCTTGAGCCGTTCCTCTTGATGCCACCTCAACCACAGTATTATCAGGAATTTTGAATTAGGAGGGCTTGTGGGTTGCATGATCAATTCACTCCTGAAGTTATGCAAGATTTACGACGAGGAGTAGTCTTTCTGAAATCCATAAGGTATCCTCTTTGTACCTCTCCTGATTCAGAGCTTGACAACCTGAATACAGACTTCTGCATCTATAGCAAGACCTTGCATGGAAGGATGATATGACCTCCAAACTCCTTGGTTGTTACCCATTTTCATCTGCTGATAATATCATTTCGAGGATTTTTAAAGAATCGCTTTTTTTTCAAAAACTCTTAATGAGGTACTGAAAACAGGTTACATTGTTTCATCGTTCTTGTCGCTCTCGAAGCGACAAGGTGTTACTAAGGCTTGAACGACAATTAGTCTGCTCAATATTTGGTAAAATTTGTTTCTTCCGGTAGGAAGTGGACAAGGAGAAAAACTGGATCAATATGAACCGTTTTGCCATTGTCAGCATGTCATCTCCCGCCTCAGAAAGCGTTCGCTCTGTCACCACCTCTGCACATGTTGGCACTCCTAAGGGGTCACCCAGAACTGGATCCGGCTCGCCAGCCAATCAAGACTTGGGTAGGTCAGCAGTCAGTCTTTTTTAACTGGTTCATGAAGCTGGCTCTGTTTAGAAGACCACACAATAGCTTCTCTTGGATTATAGCCGCGGCCAGAGACGATACCACTCTCGCCACAGATGCCGAAAGTGTTTTAGACGATGTCGTCGACGATGACGAACCCCTGATGAGCGGTAACGGAGGCGAAGATCTAGGCATTATCACTGACGACGAATTGCTCGTCGCTTGGAGTACTCTCGTCACCGAGTGGCGCGCTCGTATCCAGTCCTCTGCTTCTTCTGCGACTTCGCTGCCAGTACCGCCCTCTGCCGAGTCGGTAGTGCTGCGCACCGGCGCCGAAGCCTTACCCGATGGCGTTCTCGGTCGGAGAGTTACCCAGCTCGTGCGACGAGGCATCCCCCATACTATGCGCAAGGAGATATGGCAAATGTTGGCTGGATTTCAAGGTGCCGATTCGGGACTAACTGAGGTCTATCGGATCCTGCTCACAAAGGTTCGTCCATCTGACAAATTCAAACATCATTCTACCTCTTTTCCTCTTTTTAGCCCTGTCGATTCGACGTAGAAATCCAGAGGGATTTACCACGCACCTTCCCAGCGCACGACTTCTTTAAGGACCGAGCGGGACAGGAGATACTCTTCCAGCTTACGCGGGCCTATGCGCTCTACGATGAGGCTGTGGGTTATTGTCAGGGTATCTCATTCATTGCAGCAGCTCTCCTTCTTCATGTGAGTTGGCGTCTGCACTGCTAGCATTACTGACTTGGTTGAGCAAGCAGCAATCAACTGGTAGTTATGTCAACTTACAGTCACCTGCTGTTTCATCCACATTTTATATCATTTCTCTCTTTTCGAGTGCTATGCAACCTCCACATTTAGAATGTTATTTGTGCTTGGGATGATTAGACCACTTTACCTCCTCTCTACTGCTACTACTAGTAATGCTTTATCATTTCAAGCAATGTTTGACCTCTTCTCTACTTGGCTACCATTTTTGGTTTAAAATCTACAGTTCCTTCCTCTGATGTGCTTTCTGTCGTTGATAATAATGAGCACCTTCCGTTTTCAAATATTACACCGCTGCTTTGCATTTGAAAGTTCCAGGTGCTCTGTATAGCTTAGTCATGTGACCCTAGCAACAATGACTTATTCTTTTTAAGTAGTATATAACCTTGTTCAGTTAACTAATATGTTGGATTTGTGATACGATGTCTGCTCACAAACATTTTATGGACAAAACTGCTTACAGTAGCTATCTTCCTTGAGCAATATATGATTATCTTCCGTCGGCTAATGCCAAGTACTTTGAAACTAGTTTCCTTTGGACACTTGTTTACTTCACGCTACAATCCACTCAACTGTGTCCCCTTCCCAACAGTCGGTTTCACATGGTTGTTTTTCACCACCATGGATTCATTTAAAAGCACTTTAAAAATTAAAATTGGACGAGAATTGAAGCTTTCTGCTCATATCATTGGACAATTTTCACTAAATGTACGTAAAGTTGCCCACATCACACCAGTCAACTGTCTGTTCA